ACATGTCCTTGACCGGAATCGAACCTGGGACCTTTCAGTCCGCAGGCCAACGCTCTATCCACTGAGCCAAACCGGTTTTGGCAAATTTACAATTTTTAATTATAAACCTGTGTTTTCTTTAAAAATTACTTCCTGCGTGAACTTTGGGACACCCTCTAGAACGTGAAGAACTTGGTCGTACGCCCAGCTCTTGAGAAATGTGCCGACTTTGCTGGCTTTCAGACCACGTTCGGTTCCTGAGACGAGCACAAAACAATGTCTGGCACGGTCTCAAGGGCCTGCAAGAATTCGTTCACACTTGGGTCAAGTTTTGCCTAACGAGTGTTGTTCTGTTTGCATTTTTAAACAGAAACCAAGGTGTATGTTGGTAACCTGGCCACTGGTGCTGGCAAAGGAGAGTTAGAAAGGGCTTTCAGTTACTACGGCCCCTTGACAACTGTGTGGATTGCAAGAAACCCTCCGGGATTTGCCTTTGTGGGGTTTGAGGACCCGAGAGATGCAGAGGATGCAGTTCGGGGCCTGGATGGCAAGTAAGTGAGACGCCAGTTACGGAATGTCGGTTCATGAGGATGGTCTGCTAGGCTGGGTACCGAGGAGGGCGCTAAGCGTGGGTTCTGTCGCAGCAGTTCTCGGCCTGTGGGTCGCGAACAATGAAAATCCATCCTGCAGATCAGACATTTACATGAGGATCCATAACAGCAGCGACATTACAGTGATGAAGCAGCAACGAAAATACTTTTAGGGTTGGGGGTCAGCACAACATGAACTCTATGAAAGGGTCGCGGCCTCAGGAAGGTTGAGAACCGCTGGTCTAGAGGAAAACGTAAATAGCTAATCATTTTATTTGCTTGCAAAAGGGAGTGGAGGTGGCCTTCAAAGGGCTACAGAGATAGCTGAAGCTGTGAAAACAGAGGGATGGAAAGTTCCAGATCCAGACCCAGAGGTCGTGTGTATTTTTTTTAACATTAGAATTGTGTTGCTTCTCTTTTACAGGGTGATTTGTGATTCCCGAGTGAGGGTGGAGCTATCAACAGGCATGCCTCGGAGATCTTATTTGGATAGACCACCTGCCCGACATCCCTTTGACCCAAATGATAGATGCTATGAGTGTGGTGAAAAGGGACATTATGCTTATTATTGTCATCGCGTTAGCCGACGAAGAAGAAGCAGGTATTTATTTTAAGGGAATGGTTGCTGTATTGGTTCATGAAGTAATTCTTTTATTAGCAAGGCAGAAACTAATATTTTTATGTGAATTTGAATGTTAATTGTGCGAATGTATTTTTACAGTTTTTGTTTAATTAAACAAATGTTAATATGTTAATAATCAACCTGGTCAAAACCTTGCAGGTTTCTTCGTTTGAGTCAGTCGCCTTGATTCAGAATGTCACGAGCCTTATGACATGCTGAGGCGCCTTGCAACTCGGACAGTTAAGATCCTCCTAGACCAGTGGTGGCAAACCTTTTGAGCTCGGCGTGCCAGCATTTTGAAAAACCCTCGCTTAACTCTGGTGCCGTGTCACATACAGAAATTTTTTGATATTTGCAACCATAGTCAAAGACTTATATTTTTGATATTTATTTTATATATTTAAATGCCATTGAACAAAGAAAAGTCAACCAAAAAAGTGAGTTTGCGTGTGTCATAGGTTCATCATCACTGATCTAAAGGGTTCAGTAAAATGTGTGAAAGTGAGGAGATACCATTCTCTTCATAGTCAATGTTAAGTAGGAATATATATGTGAGAGGCCACATTTCCAACTAGAAAAATCTTCTTGCGTCAATCAAGCCTCACCTGGCTCATTTGGCCGTCAGTTTGATCGTCGTTAGATTGAAGAAAACATCTAGATGCAGCGATCGGCTATAGATACTTCTGTATCGTCTACATCTACTACTAGACCATGGGCCAAAGAGGGTCGACCTGCAAACTTGCAAGGTTTATTTTAAATACACATTACAGTGTTTGATATTATGTAATTCAGCCTTTAACAAATCTTTTAGGTAGTTTAAAAAAAAAACTGGACAACTAATAGGCCCCGAATTTATTTCCAAATGAGACAGTAAATTTAAATAGTTTTGAGACTTGATTTCAGCAGAGGGACAGACACTATAAATACGAGATGCCATCTAACACTGTGTTACTTTCCCAACTTGAGAAATAGGTCACGGTCTAGGTCACATTCGAGATCCAGAGGTAGACGATATTCTCGCTCACGGAGCCGGAGCCGGGGAAGGAGGTGAGAGATCTTTAATGCAAGTTTTAACGAGCAACAAAAAATATTGAAACTGGAGATGGACCTAACCCTCTTTGGTTTACTTTTTAGGTCGAGATCAGCATCTCCTCGGCGATCGAGATCTGGATCCCTTCGTAGATCACGCTCCGCTTCACTCCGGCGGTCTGGATCTGGCTCTATAAAAGGATCGAGGTAAATCCAGTGTGTACCATCCCCCGCTTATTTGTATTCGGGTTGTCACGTCTTAATGACAAAAAGAGAGTGTCTTAGGACATAATTTGGCATGATGGGTTGAATTTGAGACCTTAGAAAGGTGTTAGGGAAATAGTAGTGTACATATGGGTTAACATGGCTTGTTTATCCAGACACTTAAACACTGAAATTTAGAAGGCAGAATTCAAACTAAGAACTTCACCTCTTTTTACTCCCTTTGTAGAAGACCTGTAAAGGTGATAGGAATGAAGTATAGAAAATAAGGAGCTGGCGGTACTATAGATGATGGATGAGTCTCCTAGGTAGGAAATGCCATTGGGAGATACTGTGTTATAAATCTTTAAATGCAGAGATTTTTTTTTTTCTTTTTCTTTTTTAAAATATATTTTATTGAGTTTTTACAGAGAGGAAAGGAGAGAGATAGTCAGAAACATCGATGAGAGAGAAACATCGACCAGCTGCCTCCTGCACACTCCCCACTGGGGATATGCCCGCAACCAAGGTACATGCCCTTGACCGGAATCGAACCTGGGACCCTTCAGTCCGCAGGCCGATGCTCTATCCACGGAGCCAAACCGGTTTCGGCAATGCAGAGATTTTTAAGATAAAATCAAATCATATCAGTCTTAAATGAAAACCATTTACTTTCTCTTGGATACTTACCTAACAATCCAGCTCATTGGGTATGGTAGAAGCAGATAATTAAAATGGTAGTTCCTTATTTATTTGATATTAGACCTTGTTGAAAATGTGGCAACTTGTTGAATCTTAGACTGGTACAAGGCAAGAGTGGTATCTTGCTCAGTTTTAGCTTCTGTTCCGAGCCTGCCTAAGGAGGTGCTCAGGGGTGTTTAGTGTGACTAATTGGGATAATTTTTGTTTTTAAGATCTCGGTCAAGGTCAAGATCAAGATCCAGGTCTGTTTCACGACCAAGAAGCAGGTAAGGGTGAAAAGCTGAACAGTGCTCTCGTTCTATGGCACCAGTATCCACAGGGTTCAAAGTGCTCTGAGTTATCGAGGCTTCGGGTGCCAACTCTAATCCTAGGTGTGGAGTGGGAACTCGGCACCTTGTTAGTGAACTGAACTTCAGAACTTCATTTGTACGAGGCCTCTTCTGGATGGTGTCCTGGACGAGGGAATGTCTGGGTGCAGTCAGAACGCAGTTTGTAACCTTGGTGTTAGAGGCCTTGTTAGAACCTGTAGATGCGTGCAGAAGCGTTCTGAAAGGTGAGCTTTAGGCAGATCAGTCACGATAAAAGCAGTTCATTTTATGAAGGCGAGTTGGAAGGTGGGCTTTTGTTAGCAAACGCTGATGGGCATTTTTCCCCAGGTTAACTGCAGCCTGACATTTAAATTTCAGGACAATTTGGGGGTTCATTTCATGATATTGTGACTGTAAAAAAGGGATTGGTTAGTACTTTTTCTAAATAGAATTTCTCATGTTTTGACAGCCGATCAAAGTCCAGATCTCCATCTCCAAAAAAGAAGGTAAGCTAAATAACAAAAAGAAGGTAAGCTAAATAATTTGTTGCCAAATTTTAACTGTCAAATGTGGCCTCTGCAGAATTTGTTTGCTTCCTGCCTACTTTGCAGGCTTTGATTTTGAGCTCGTTGGAGAATTGGTGCTATATATATAAATACTAAGTTTCTTAAAGGATTGCTTTTCCTGCTTCATTATCACCTTATACTTTCATTGGAAATATTTAGTCATAAAATGTTAGAATGACAGTCAAGATGTGTTTAGTCCTGTGAACCCTTAATTGTATAATTTCATAAGACACATGCTTTCCCCACACACAGGTAAAAGGGAAATGAAGAAAAATTTGTAGGTTGAAATCTTGAAGCTAAACTATTATCTGTCTAGTTCAGTGATGGCGAACCTGTGACACGTGTGTCATAGGTGACACGCGAACACATTTTGGGTGACACGCAATGACAGAGACAAAAAATAGCATAATTCAAATATTTGTCTTGCAACGGCCAGGTTTGGGCATCACTCGAGTAATATTATTACGTTACTCGTGATCAATAATGCAATTCTGAAACCGGATGTAAACATGTACATTGGTGTTGTGTAGCAAAGATACATAGTGAAAACATCCAAGATACATTGTTCCAATATATTTTTTTAATATATTTTATTGATTTTTTTACAGAGAGGAAGGGAGAGAGATAGTCAGAAACATCGATGAGAGAGAAACATTGACCAGTTGCCCCCTGCACATCTCCCACGGGGGATGTGCCCGCAACCCAGGTACATGCCTCTAACTGGAACCGAACCCGGGACCCCCCAGTCCTCAGGCTGACGCTGTATCCACTGAGCCAAACCGGTTTCGGCCCAATATTGACATTAATATAAAAAGGTTAAGAATTGCACTATAGCCAAGCTGGGTGTATCTCAGCGATAGAGCGTCGACCTAGGAACCAAGAGGTCACCAGTTCGATTCCCGGTCAGGGCACATGCCCAGGTTGCGGGCTTGACCCCCAGTGGGGTGCGTGCAGGAGGCACCCAATCAATGATTCTCATCATTGATGTTTCTATCTCTCCCTCTCCCTTCCTCTCTGAAATCAATAAAAATATAT